GGCTTCTTTACTTGCATCTAATGGGGAGGTGGAAGGGAAGAAGACACTCTTGTTATGAAATAAGGGTTCTCAATTTATAGATTATTAAGGCATGTATGGGATCTTGGATGAGATTGGTCCATTTTCGGTTGCATCTTTTGACTTTTGCTTAGGATTATTTGACCCAGACTGCTCTTGAAAGAAAATGATTAGGCTATTGGCAAAGCTTTGATAAGAGCTGAAAAATTTGGAGCAGCTACAGTCAAGCAACTGTTAGATTTTCTGTAGCTTGCTGAGCTGGCACCTGTTGTGCTGCAAGGTCAGGTAAAAACTTTGGTAACAAAATATTTGACCTAGATGAGAACATGGCTGCTGCTAAGCCTATGCACAAGCTTCTAGTGTATTTTATTGTTTCTGAGTTGGCTAGTTGTAAAAACTAGTTGCAAAAACTTACCATAATTATTACCATCTCTACATCAATTTTAGGTATGGGTGCATTCTTCCTCAGGCTTTTTTCAGTATATAAAAAGGATGAATTAGACCAAAGTTTATATATGTTTTTTTAGTCTATATAAAGAGTACTACAGGAGATTATTTATGTTGGATCTGCTAAAAATTGCTACGTTGTTTCTTCTTTTGTGGAGGAACTTGCTATGTAATTTACATTGTGACTTCCCTGCCCTCTATGGTTTATACTTTTGGCTATCTGTACAGAAATTTGGGAGTTAGTGTATGAAGGTTGTGCTAGTATTTGTTTAGTCTCTTTTCCAGTATTGGAGTCATGATACTGATTAAATCTGATAGTGCACTAAAGATGCTGTTGGTTTATGGCATGTTTCCTTAGTACTTCAGGTGAGGCTTAAAAGGATTACACTACGTTTTCTATTCTCCATGTAGCCATGCTAAAATATTTTTTAAAATTACATTTTGTAACATTTATTGCATTTTAGTGTCTTGCTTCTGTTCAATTTGGCTTAAAATATTTTGGCAAATTATGGTAACAAATTTGAATGTATCAAAATGAGCGTATAACTAATCCCATTGTCGCATGAAAACTTAAGGTCTCATTCACATGAGTATTTTGGGCTCCTTAATAGCAGATATTTAACTGCTGAAGGTGGAGGCCGTGTGGTGAAGGAGATTCATCTAAAAATAAAAATCCGTGTGTGTATAGATGCAGATATTAAACCACTTTTCTAGAGATGTACGTGCTTTTTGTTGAACTGTATAACTACACTGGTGCATCGTGATTATCATAAATATCAAGCCAGTTAGTATAAAATAATAGAGTATGCTTTAGTTGAAAATGGTTGTTTGCTTGGCCTGTGAAATGAGTCATCAAAATACAGTGTCCCAATAAAATGAACATTCTTATTTGTATTATATATATAGAATCTTTAGTGTTTATTTACTAGCTCCTTGTATTTGCTACAGTCAAGATAGTTATGAATTTAATACTATTGCTCTTTATTTTATAAAAAAGCTTTAAATACTCTGTACTTATCAAACAGTGACAAAAAATCTCCAGTGATTAGAACATACAGGAACTCTAGATCATCTCCTCTCGTATGAAGGCAGAGTGGGTATGATACAAAATCAATTAAACACAGCAATTCCAAAAATGTTGTTTGCCTGGGGTCAATGTCCTACTTAGTCTTCATTAATCACTTCCTGGATAGCAGCAGGTACGTTTGCAGTTAGTTGGTTTCCAGTTATCAGTTGTTTGTATTGGTCAAATTCTTAAGGCATTGCAGAGGAATGAAGTCCCTATTTTAGCAGCTGGTGTCTGTTGGAATCAGCAGGAGTAAGCTGTGTAACTGGTGGATTAGATGTCTGCCCACGAGGCTGTAGTCAGCAGCCTGTGACAGTATTGAGAGAGAAAAATGAATTTAACACACGCATTGCCTCAATTTTTTTCAGATGCTGGCCAGAAGAAGACCCCAGACAAGAAAGATGGGCGACGAATGTCTTTTCAAAAACCTAGAGGGACTCTTGAATATTCTGTAAGTTACTGCTTTATTGTTGGAATGTTACTGCAACGCAGGTGCAGGCTAAAAAGTTGCTTTACAAAATATAAGCAGAACTGTAACATGTATTGCCTTTAATGTTAGGATTGTGTGTATCTGATAGTTTAATCTGACAGAAATTAAATCAGGGAATTAGCTAGTAGTGCTAAGGCTGTTTTTTCCCTTTAAGTGGTTATTTTTGTTTTTTTTTTTCCTTAGAAATCCCAAGCTAATCAAACTGTTGACTGGTTCACTTTTAGGTAACTAGTTAGCAACAAATAACAATAGTTATATAATTATGTGTATGTTCTTTGCTTTGAGCATTATTAATAAACTGTTGCCGTCAGGGGAAGTAACGGAATAAAGTTGGGAAAGGAAGCTGTATCTTGATAATGACTTTCTGGTATTCTTCTAATAATTGCTGTGGATCTGTGCCTTTTACTGTATAACTCTGTTTCTGCTTCAGTATCTGAAAATGGAGCCTTTCTCTCCCTGTTCTGTTCTTGAAATGACCCTCAAACTGTGCTGCAGTCAGCTTTCACATTTGTGGTTACTAAGGGAAACAGAAGTGAGAAGTATCTATCTTGTGTTATGTACTGGAAATATAATTAAGCCTATAAATAATGCTTATAGAGTTGTTGTTAAAATAGGGAAAGTTTGCCATAGTTATCTTTGAATGCTTTTGAAGCTGGACATGAGAAATAAAAATGAGAACTTCTTTATGAAAAGTCTTCACTTGACCTCTTGGTGTTCTCTTAGTCCAGGAATAAGAGGTAAGGGGAAGACTTAACTCTGTTACACTAAGCCAAACTGTGATAATTGCTTTAGTACTGAGAAGGCTGTGATAGTCTTTTGGAGAGAGACAGAGTATGTGTGTAGTAGAGCAGGAAGCATTTCATTAGCGTGGCTTTTATTGGAATTTGCATATAATTCTAGTCTGCTCTAAAGACTTCTTTGAAATTGAAATTCAAAACAAATTCTTGCTTCTTAGTTTCTAGCAGTTGAAGAATGCTAATGTGACTCTTGTTGATATTATGTTAACCTCATTTGGTCTGAAAAAAAAATATTCAAGTGTAGCTCTGTATTACTGGCATCCATACTCAGTAAAACCTGTAATTTTGCTCTTGCCACCATGTGAGTGCTTTTACTTTGGTATGTAGCATTCCAGGCAATGTAAAAGCAACGAGCTTTTTCTTTTTTTTAATTAGTTGTGTGTTCGTGTCAAGTTGCCATGTACTTCTGCAGGTTTTTGTGTTCCAGTAGGTGGAGTTTTAGATCCAAAAATAGCTTTCTTAATATGTACTGAAATATGCATCACTTCCTTGTGAGTCAAAAAGATGATTCACAGGAATCAAAGACTTCGTCATTAAACTTTGTCCACCTTCTAAAGGAGCCGGTTGCATGCATGGAACATGGTGCATTTCAGCTTCACAAATACTGTATTCTGTCAGGTCTTGCTGTACTTTTGCTCGTTAAACACTTGAGTAGAATCATGTTTGGTTAATATTGTGTGCATATATTTTAATAAAATGCATGGTTATAACCTTTGGGAACTGAGTTATGCTTTCTGTAAGAGAGGTCTGGTAGCTGTTGTGGTAATCTGCTACTTTTGTTATTTCTTACTTTATTAAATGTGAAGAGGTGCATTTGTGTCTGATTTCTGACAGTCCTACTTCCTGTCATAATGGTGACACGTGTACACACACGTACACGTACATTTATATACCTGCATGTGTTGCTTCTTTGAGAAGTAGTAGAGAATGATGGCAGAAACCAGACTCCCTGTCACCTTCTAACATTGTTGAAGTCAGTGATGTTTTTTGCCTTTTTTAATATAATAATTTAATATGTTAGTTTTTCCAGTTGCTAGGTGGTTTTAGGAGGGAAGGTTCTATTAGTGAAGTTTGGTGAGTTGACATCTCACTTATGCAAACTTTGGGTTTTTAGTATGAAGTAGACTTTACACCAGAATTTTTTTAGGAAAAAAAATTACTGTGGGACAAATGAACAATAAAATTCATTTTCTCCTTAAAGCTAAGGACAATGCAGTTAATATTTTAGATTTTAATGTAAAATTCCCAAGGCATGAAAACTTGAACCTGCTGTTCTGTATGTAGCAGCAGCAGGTGTCAACAGATACGGTACTAATTAATAGAAATAAGTCCTGAACTGCTTCTAAATGGTACCGAAAAAACTGGTTCACTTTTGCTGATACTGCTTAGACAGTGAACAGATATCTTTTAAAAGTTTTTCCTTTCCTCAGTGTCAGTCAGCATATTAGATGCAGGTTGATATTGTCTGTTACTTCAGAATTCACAGTTGCTGCTCAAGCCATGTTTTCCCCTTCAGCCTTTTGCATTCTGTGTTGTAGGAACACATCTGGTGCATTCTTAGAGGTGTCAGAAGAGCCAACTACAGGTGAATAATAGAGCATGAGCAGAGTATTGCCTACTGATCACCAGTGACTGTAGCATGCTAGCAGTCTTGTGACTTCAGTGAAAGCCTTCTAACTGCTCTTCCTTTTGAGGAAAAGAAATAAATAATTGTGGTTATTTACAAATAAGTTTGATTTTTGTTTAAAAAAGCATTTATAAGTGAGCAGTTAAAATTGATGATCTGGTTTATTAGTGTTGGAGGCTCTAATGTAAGACTTGCCTTTATCTCTCTGAGAATTGAGGGCTGTGCTCTCCTGAAGTCGTGAATAAGTACTTAATACACAGATTATATTGTCCAGGTTATGGAAAGAGCCCACTATCTATTCCTGAGGGTCACAGAAGCCTTTAGTAGATCATAGCCTCAAGACTGAGTTTTCAGCCTGTATGTAGAGAGTGCTAAGGGTTCTCTCCTGGTGCCACTAGTTCTATTGCTATTGTGAGCCTTTTCATGCTATTTGGAAAGCTATACAATTTGGAATTTTTTGTGAGTTTATTTTTAATTTCTTGATTCTTCCATTTCAAACCTAAGGAATGTGTTCTTTTTTTGGCGGCCCTTTTTGTTTATTTTCTGAGAGAGAACGAATAATTTCTTCCCTCTCTTACAGTAGTGAAATGATAGGAGAAAAGCTGGGGGATCCAGTGTGGTGGCACTAATCAAATCTTGTTAGATCTGTGCTTTTCTACCAAGTTATTCTTTGAGATTTTGGCTGTTCAGGTTTTGCTTTTTAGAATAGTAGAGGGCCTGAGAACTGGGAAATACGCCTTTGAATCTAGGAAGACACTTCAGGAAGTCTCTGTTATGCGAGCAGTGTCTTTGTTTTGAGAAGGTGTCTCTGCTGGTCACTGAAGAGCCCTGTACTGTGGAAATTTGCCTGTGCAAACTTGACAGCCAAACAAAAAGGAAGCTTATACTTGTCATTGTGTTTATCATGAGTGAGATGTTGCCAAGCTATCTCACAAGATGTTTTTATTTCAGAAGGCTGTAAAGAGTGAATGCACTCTAAAAAGGCTTAAGCTTTGTGGTTTGAATGCTTTTAATTTGTTTTATGTCCTAAGTTAGTCTAAAATCTCAATTGCTTCAATCATTAAGTGATACATAAGAAATATTTACCCAGCAGCTGACTGTTGTCCCTCAACATGTATGTGAGAGCAAACTTAGGCAAAACTTTTGACTTTTACTTTACAGTTTGTTTTTGCAAAGTTTCTGTATTATGTAGAGCCTCTGATGGAAACCTTACTATTCTATGATTTGGTGATTAGTTTTGTTATGATCTGTTAAGTCATAGTACATATCTGGTTTTGTTACAGTCCTGTTTTGATTTCTGCTTTAGTACCAGTTAAACGTGGCATATGAAAATATTCTCATTTTTTTTTGTATATGTGTGATCATACAGTACTGAATAACTGAGAGCTACTACAATGGTCTTCCATACTGGAAATACTAGTGTAGAGAGATGTTTGCTGCTTTGTTTAGCTTATTGGCTTCCTGTATAAATAATTTTCATAAGAGACTTCTAATCCTATCTTCAAAAAGCTAATTGCTTTTTCTTTGGCAGTGCTTATATCTTTTCGTTAGTGAATCTAGGTTGACAAGTGCACCTTTACAAGATTATAGGGAAAAGAATTCTCTAACTCTGCTTACATTTAGCTGCAAATGTATCTTAGCTTATATAGCTTCATCTTGTCTTAACTGCTAAAATCTGTGTTTTCCTGGTACAGTGTTTATGAAGCCTTGTGCCATTATGCAGTAAATCTTTTGACTGTTTGTTTCCTCGTATTGCCATTATTCCTAAGACTATGAATTCTTTATTCTGAAATAGTCTTTCTGTATAAAACTTTTTTTCCTTTTGCTTTCTTCTGGTAGCTCATTTTGAATATACTTTGGGAGATGGAGGTCTCCCAAGAATCTGAGCTTGAAAAAAATACTTTCCTTAGCTGAGAATCAGTTTCTCAAAATGCTTATGCTCCATCTGCTGTCATAGTAGTTGGCCTGCTTTGCTTCAGGATTTTTGCATTTTCTCAGCAATGGATTTTACTTGAAAGTCAGAATCTAACAGAAGCTTATTTCAATAGTGAGAGGCTGTATTTATATTTGTAGAGAGAACTCTTCAGCTTTTCTGTTGGTAAGGAGTGGAGAAAAACAGTTGAAGAGGGGAAATGAATTATTCTGTGAATCCAGTCAATGATGTATTGCCCAGTGGTAACCAATAGTGAATTTGTAGACCAGAAGTTCTGGTGCAGTAGCTGAGCCTAAAGCTCAAACTGTGTGACTGACACTTCTGGCCACCTGGAAACATAGTGGGAAGGCATTTACTTTTACATGGGGTTGCAATAGACTAAAATTTAGGGGGTAGGTATGTTTTTTTGTGATGGCTTTGTTGTTTTTTTGGAGGGTGGGCAGTTATAAGAAATTAAGATATTAAAGTTTATCACAATCTTGGTAAATCTATGCATGTTAAAATATGTAGGCCAGTATTTGAACTAAATGCTTACAGGTTTGTTTTGTTTGTTTGTTTGCTTTTTGATACAGGTGGAATCAAGAGATACTTTAAACAGTATTGCCTTGAAATTTGATACAACACCCAATGAACTGGTTCAATTAAATAAGCTTTTCTCCAGAGCAGTTGTTCCTGGACAGGTACCATTACACTATATATGTTAATTATACAACAAAGTCCTCTTTTCCTGTATTTCCTATTCCTACTGGAGTGCTAAAGTACTTCTCTTACTGATTTTTCTTATTGGCTTTGTAAAAGAGTTTTTACTTTTTCTGTAGTCTATTCCTTATGCTTATTAAATAACTGCTGAAAAGGAAGCATGTAAGGAAGCTACCTGGGTCCCTTATTTAAGAACAGAGGGCTTTTAAAACTAGATGTACTTAATGGTACAATAATAACACTTTGCAAATATTGCTGGCTGTTTACCAACTCTAGCTCAGCAGACACATTCAAGATACAGCATTCTGTGCTTTATTGCATTACAAACAACATTCCATGACTGCATATTACAGCCTGCAATTCTATTTTAAGAAATTTAATAATGATTCTGTTCTGCTCTGGAAACTTGATGTTTTTACCAGCAGTATATGAACTACCATTCACTTGATACAGGTCACTATTGCCTTTTTTTTTCCCCCTTTCTGTCTCTGTCTTCAGTTTTCACTACTCCTTGAAAGCCAGGCCTGGAAACAAGTGATAGGTAAACTGTGATATCAGCCATTGGCCATTTGGTATTGCTCTTTGCTTGATAAAGTTCTGTGTTCATTTTTGATTGCTGCAGAACTTTTTCTGGGTAGATTGAATGCCTACCATGGCTGAAATAATGTATTAAAGGCATGAACACCTTCAGCTGAAATTTTAAAAATATATTTTGTGAGTCTGTTTCCTCATTGCTCAAATAGTCATAGCAAGGGAAATAATTGGACATCTTCCTTAGACACTGTCATTTCCGGCATGCTGTATACTTTTAATGCTATCTATCTGAATTTCTTCCTTGGTTATTATGATTGGAAATCAAAATTATATCAATATAGCTTTTAAGAACTTGAAATGTTAAAATTTCAAGTACTTTGTATAGTGTTTTTTTCCCTCAACTCATAATTCTTTTAAAAACAATGGAAGCAGGAATGCATAGCTTATTTTGAGAAAGTGTAGTAAATATATCTTAGTGGTGGGAAATCTAAAGTAAATCTGAAAACATAACTAATTTCTAACTACATTATATCTTCTTTGTAGATTTTGTATGTTCCTGACCCAGACTACATTTCTAGTGTGGACAGCTCCCCCTCTCTAAGTCCTGTAAGTCCCCTATCACCTACATCTTCCGAAGCAGAGCTTGACAAGGCTACAGTAAATGTAGGTATACCTAATTTTCCCTTACAAGATAAATGTTACAGATGCTATGCTTTCTTCTTAAACTATCCTTTTGTTTTGGGGAGAAAGTATAAGACAACACTTAGAGTTGAAAGTAAAATAATTCCTTTTTAAAAGTAAATATTTATAAATAAAGGATTTTAATCTTTGTAAATTACAGTTTTCAATGTGAAAACTTGATTTGAAGGCAAATTACTTGTAGCAAAATACTGTCATTGCACTCTGAAATGTTAATTAGTTACTGTTGCATTTCTCCATTTGTTACATTTCAGAGCTCACTAAACATTTGTCTGTAATCTTTTTGATAGTTTTTGTAGAAAAATATGTATTGGTAGGAATGCTCAGGTTCCCCCCACTTGCTCTTGAGTGTGGGAGAGGATCCTCTAGTTTAATTTCACAAAATGACATTTAAAAAAAGGGGGGTTTTGATGAAGGACTAATACAGAATTAATTGCAGGTGCCTTTTACTCAGTAGTTCTACATTTGTGGACTTTCAAAATACTAAAAATGTTTAGCCATCGACATTGCACTGTTATTCAGCTCAAATGTAGATTTTTGGCTAGGAGCTGGCTTTGTAGAAGCATGTCTTTCCAGGAACACTGGTTTGCTCACAGCAGCATTCCATAGGAAGCAGTCCAGCCAGGAAGATTCAGTATTTGAGCCTGAGCTTCTCTGCAGTTTTTGCAATTGTGATCTTATTTGGATGCTTCTTCATGTATCACCACTGTTCTTTTCCCAGTTATTATCTTTTCCTCTCAAAATAAGAAATTTTCTTGGTAGCCTATTTTGACAGTACTCAGTCAAGCTGTCAAACATCTATTCCAGAATTTTATGTGCTCAAAGTTTAGGAAGGTTTGAGACTTAAATAATTTACTTATTTGCTTATATGGTTTGGTCCAGATGGGTTTAAATACAAAGGTTTTGCTTTGTTGCTGAACAGGTTGCCAAACTGCATTACAAAGTTATTAGAAATCACAGTGTGGACTCTGCATTTGATTTTGTTTTCAGTCTCTCCAGCAGCACAAAAGGCACTCAACTTCTCTGTGAGCAGCTAGGGCTGGAGGGTTTTGTTCTTCATCTTAGCACCTGTCTTTCATGGTTTTTTTTCTTTTTACTGATTGCTATCATTGTGAAGGAAAGAAAGAAATACTAGTATAGATTCTCTAATACTCTTGATGTCTGTCTTCTGTGACTGTCCTCCAGTTTTGACTACGCATTTGCAGTTGAAATTTGAACATGTTTCAAGGTGAAGATATGTTGCTCTGCATATATAAAGGCATCTTCTCTCTGCTCTGGTCGATAGAAGTAGTGATTTTTTTGTTATGATTTAATAAGAAGGCTAAAAAATATGTGAATGCCTGTTCAGTCAGAAATAACCGGTTATGTTCTTTTCTTGTTCTTCTGTTTTATTGAACATTGGAGCACTTACCACAGCTATGTGGCTGGATACAAACCAGCATGTGGCTGTTATAAAACCTGCATAATTTTGTTAAAGTTGGGGGGGGGGTTAGGTAGGTTTTTGCTTGGTTGTTTTTTTTTATTTTGTTTGCTTTTTTTAAAAAATTTTGCTACACTTAAGGTAAGATTTCAGTGTGTATTTCAGTAATTTTGTTGCTGTCAGTGTGTATTTAAGAACTAGCTTAGATTTTGAAGCTTTTCTGTTGCTGTTGGGTTTGTAAAAGATTTCTTCATTCAGCAGTCTTAGGATCTTCTCAAATATGTGCCTATGTGCTTTGCTATTTATAAAGCTTAAATTCCACTTCAAAATAATATGTAGTGACAAGGGGCATCAACATTAAATTAGAAAGTCTACCATTGTGGTAGTGCATCCCCCCTGCCCCTCCCTTTCCTAAGCCATACTGGGATCTGAGATTGTGTCATGTGGCAGTATGGTGAGAAATAGCTGGCTTGTTCAGAGTGGGCTTGGATATCAGCTGAGCACTTTCAGAGGCACTTGCTGAGTTGTGTCACAAGTTTTCAGTAGTTTTCAGTAGGAAGGTGTGTGTAGAAGGAGAATTCATCTCCGGGAGGTTTGTTTCCTAATTGTACCTTGATTAGCTTTTTCAGCAGAATTCAGTTTAGTGTTTTGTGTATTGGTTTTTTGGCTGATCTGTAATGAAGGTTGAAAGATGCTGGCAAAGGCTAAAGTAGTGCCAGAGAGATGAACTGAAAACAGTTGTGCATAATGTTCCTAGATATGATTAATGGCATTTATCTGTAATCTGTACTAATGAATAAGACTGAACAGGAAAGCAGAAAACCAAAGGGAACATGGGAGTTCCTGTTTTCTAAAAATAGTAATATTTTATTAGTAACAGAAGAGAGCAATTATGTATAAAATGAAATCTTTAGATGTGGGTGAGGCTCCAAAATAGGGTTTCTGTGCCTATAAAATAGGTTTTGGTGAAGTCTGTCTACTGTTTAGCTTTAGTTTCAAAACAAATGTTTTTTGTTGTCATGTCCCCGGTAGGGACATGTTCACTACATAGTTGGATATAGGAGATAGTGAGTTAGGTAGCTCTTTCTATTATCTTCCTGGGGAAGTCATGAAGGAAATCCTCTGAAAGTTAAATCCAGGCATGTGAATGACAAAGATGGTTGGAAACAGCCAGAGAGAATTTACTAAGGCAGTATCATACCTGACAAAACTGATTGCTTTCTGTGGGAATGACAGGCTCAGCAGATGAGGGAAGAGCAATGCTTGTTTCTTATCCTGACTAGAGCCAGGCCCTTGACACTGTTCCTTGTTAAAATACTGGAAAAATGTGAACTGAATGGGTAGAGTAGAACATGGACCAGAAAAATCATTGTGTTCAAACTTACTCAGCATTTTAAAAAATCTTTTGTAGAATCATAGATTAGGTTGGCTTGGAAAGGACCTTAAAGATATCCTTCCAGCCCCTCTGCCATAGGCAGTGACACCTTCCACTAGACCAGGTTACTCAGACCCTCATCCAGCCTGGCCTTAAGCACTGTTTGCTGTGATGGTCAGTTTCAAATCCTTGGGAGTCACTATTGGGGCAGTTCTTTTATAATCTGCCCATCAGATTGTGGTCAAATTACACAGCAGAAAATCTCCAGAAATTGATATTGAAAAAAGCAAGTTGCTAAGTTCTTCGTTTCTTTGTATTTCCTTTCAGGATTCAGATGGAGTCCAACAGAAGGAGTCAGCTGTTTCACCAGCACATGCGTGTGTTCGTCCTTCAAGAGTGGTATCATCTACCTCCGAAGAGGAGGAAGCATTTACAGAGAAGTTTCTAAAAATTAATTGCAAGTACATCACTAATGGCAAGGTACTGAAACATTCAGGTTTTACTGTTACTGTATAGGATTTAATAATTAAACATGTTTAAAGAATAGACATAGAGTAGACTTTAGTCAGGGATTAATACATGAATCAACTCACATGCATGTGTCTGTATAAATATAGTAATTTTTTTACTCACTGTTTAATTTGGAATCTCCAGGCCTCTTGTTCAGGACATGATGCAAGCAGTTGATACATGACAGACATCCCTGATGCTGTACTGTTACATAAGTCTTGTATGTTGAGGGCATGAGGTCTGTTTGTTCTTTATGTTAGTATCTCTCATAAGTAATTTTCTTTACTTACAGTGGAGAAAAACATGCCTTAAACAGTACTAGGAAATACACTAGGAAATAGGAAACTACTAGGAAATACATAGTTGTATAGCTTTGCTTCCTTTTTTAAAGCTTTTTAAAGCAGAACAAGGCGAGCAGAATAAACCTGATTCTGCAAATAAGTTCTGTATTTGCCATTTGCATTTGGCTTGGTGTGGTATGGTAGAAACCTTGATTTTTAATTTTTTTTTTCTTTGAAATAGTTACAGTTCTTTCAAATAGCATCATTACACAAAGTGCCTCCAAGTTAGTGACACTTAATTAACCTCTGTTCAGCTCACAATGCACAAGTCTTGCGCAGACTTCTAGGGACTGAGGTAAAGTGTTTTGATATTATCTCAGAACACTTTACCAAAAATCAAAATGTACTGCTCCCTTACCTCACAGAAAAAAATATTATTAGACATTTTATCTGTGAAAAATGCCTTCACTCAATGAATGCAATAAAATTCAAAGTACTTGTAATAATTCCTCCTTTGCCTGAAGTTCAGGTATGTATATAAAACTACCACTGTTTCTGTATTGTTCAGCCATAGTTTAGCAAATAAGGTACATTAATGATAAACAGATTAGTAAGAATCTCCTAAAACCGCAATTTTTTTGGTTTTTTGGCTGATGGGGAAAGGATTGCATATCTACATATATCTAGACTTGGAGCCTTTTGACAATATGTGTATTGACAAAAGCTAATTGTTTGAAGTTGGTGAGGCAAATACTGGAACAACTTTGTTTTTAACTTCATTCTACTTTGCAGGTAATTTTCTTCACTTGTTGCATTCTGTCTGTAGGTGAATTTTTTAGGTTGATCCTAGGCACATGCTTACTTATCAGTTTTAGGTGCTGTTATGCAGAGACCTGTGAGCCTTTGTTAGAAATTGGATATACTGGAAAAAATCTGGGGTTGAAATTTACAGCTTATTATTTATGTGCTGTAATTTCTCCTCAAATTGCACTCCAAGGTAGTGGAGTGTAATACTACACAGGGAGTATTAACTGCATCTGTATTGGACTTGCGGCATTACAGCTTATTTTCTAAGAGCTTCAGGGAGAATTCTGTTTCTAAAAAGTTGTATAATCCATTGCAGTGTGTATCCATGCTTGGGGAGGTGGGTGGGAGAAAAATGAATTCTGATTTGCTCAGATCTGAGTGCCAGATCTTGTAAGTTTAGAATGTAATTTAGACTTTGTGCTACATATGGTAAGAATGTCCTCTTGAATGTTGTCTTGCCTCTCCTTGATGCATTTTCTCACGATGCAGGATGATAAACTTTCAAAAGGTTTCTGGAGAAAGCTTAAAAGATTCATCCTCTGCTTCTGAAAGTGGTTTTTGAAGCTCATAGTTAGCTATTCTTCAGGGCTTCAGCTCTGAAGTTTGTCATCACTGTGACTGCTGCTTTGTAAACTGAAATCTAGTGCAAGCCTATTTTTCAGCGTGTCTATGCAAAAACGCTTTAATTAGGATAAGATTGTCTCATTTCCCATTTTTTGAGACTGCTTATTCTGTATATGGTTGGAGGTGGGTTTAGTCACACTTGTGACTTTCTGGACAAGCACAGAGGAATTCTCTGAGGAGCAGTGATTGGAACCTGGAATGCTTGGTCTGTTCATTGCACTTGCTCTGTGTTAACTGGTTATGGCTGCTGATAGAGGCCTGTTGAGCACAGTAAGGAGCAGGGTCGTGTGAATATGCCACATTCTGTACAGACAATAAATCAGTGTAACCAGTATGTGCAGGCACATCTTGCTTCATTCACTGCTTCCTGCATATGTGGGTGTGCCCTGTCTTGCAGCTGAACTGTTGGCTTCTGCTATAGAAAAGTGTGCTGCTCTGGGTTTTTTTTCATTCTTTGCACTGTTCCTTGAGGCAAATAAAAGGTACTTTAAAAAGTATGCTACTTGATTGTAACTGGAACTAGTAAGGGGGGTTTGGAATCCTTTGTTATTTTTGCTAACTTACTTAACTGTTTTGAAATGTAGTATGTACTGGGAAATTCCTAATACTGAAGTTTGAAAAAACCCAAACCACTGATGTGGAAATGAAAGCACACATTTATTGTTCATTAAGTGAAAAGGACACTGACGAGGTTCAAAACCTTTACAAGAAGCAAAACATAAAATCAATGTTATTTTCACGTAAAAGCTTAATAAATCATAAATTACAATTCTTATTCAACCTTGTGTTGAAAACTGTTATGGAATTATTTAGAGATCTTATCTTTGAAAATTTCTTTCAAACTTTCTTAGAAAGGTTTTACTGAACTGCCTAATCTTAATGTGCAGGCTCACCAGTGTGATAGTTTAGCTCTAAACCTCCAATTATAAGGATTGTTCAGATTTCAGTCTCAGGTATTGCATAGGAGTTGGATCTTCCATTTCCTGAGATGTAAGGAGTTTTAATGGTAAGAAGATAAAACTGATTCAGAACTGAATATCTCCATGTGCACTTTAATCTATTTTCAATATGTATGTTTTTATATATCTGGATTAATATTTTCTGGACAAGCTTTAAGACTCAAGGGATCTATTTTTAATAACCTAGAATGTCCACATGGTTTTTAGTAAGAGTGGCTTAGCATCTCTTTGAGGATCTTAAATCTGAACTTCATCTGAACAGAGTTTTACTTCATGTCTTAAAAATGCATTGTGTACAGGAAACTTGACTTCTACAAGTGTGCTGTTTTGAGGAGTTTTGTTCCAGAACCAGAACTTCCTGTAACAGTATCATATTGTAATACTTACTAGCTACATTCAGAGTCTAATTTGTATTTCATTTTCATACAGTATTTTTAGCATTTTTTCTTTCAACAAGTACTTAGTAATTATGGTCCAAGAGAAATAAATCATTGGTTATTTTGTGGAGTATGTCCTAAAAAGCTGTTTCCCAAGATTCTGTAGCAACATATAGATGTTAATTTTAATTTTTTTTTCCCCCAAGGACTAGAAAACTAGGAGACGAGAGCAAACATCAGTATACTGGAGTCATAAAGCAGTTGGTAGTGTGCATGCCATTGGTCCAGTGTTTTTGCTTGAACTTGTGCTCTGATTTGTAGACCTTACTCTCTAACAGCATTGTTAATACAAATAATTCTCGTGGCTATTTTGAAAAACTGAATTGGTAAAAAATAAAGTCGAAGAGCTGTTTCTGAAATGTTAAGTGAGTATTTGATTTATTTTAAATGGATCTGGGCTGAAGACCCAATGTAATAGCCCACAAAGGAGAAGCTGGGTTCATCATCTTGTCTTTATATTGGTAGACAAGGGCAGAGAAAGGGCTTTGTTTTTCATAAATAAGCCCCCATGATATTCCTCACTCTGAAGAATATATTCACACTGAAAACATTTTCAGTAGCTCTACAGGCCAGAGAACGAGCCTGGGAGCTTTCTCCCCGCTCCAAAAGCAAGGAACTAAGGAGATTATATGGGGAGTAGACTAGGCTTTCAGTCATCTTTGGTACTTGTAAGATAGCAGGGGCAATTAGCTTGTTGGAAGTAACTTACCAGGAAGAGCATTACAGAATCATTTAGGTTGGAAAACAGCTCTAAAGTTAAGTCCAATCTTTCCCTGATCACCACGTTGTCAATTAGACCATGGCACTGTCACATTCAGTAATTTCTTGAACCTCCAGGGATGATGACTCTACCACCTCCCTGCCCAGCCATTCCAATGCCTAACAATCCTTTTTGTGAGGAAATTCCTCCTGATGCCCAGCCTAAGCTTCCTTTGGCACACCTTGAGGCCATTTCCTCTTGTCCTGTCCCTGGTTGCCTGGGAGAAGAGGCCAAGGCCCACCTGGCTAGAACCTTTTCTCATGTAGTTGTAGAGAGTAATAAGGTCCCCCCTGAGCTTCCTCTTCTCCAGACTGAACAAGCCCAGATCCCTCTGCTGCTGCTCACAGGACTTAATCTCTAAATCACTCAGCAGCTCAACTGGCTTTTATGGACTTGCTCCAGCACCTCGATGTGCTTCCTGAATTGAGGGACCCAGAGCTGAGCACAGTATTTCACATGTGGCCTCACCAGTGCTGAGTGCAGAGTGACAATCACTGCCTGGTCCTGCCAGCCACACTGTTGATACAGAGATGCTGTAGTTTTGTTTTTATTCTTGTGTCACCGTCATTACCCATTCCTGGTTATTTTACAAGACAATTGTGACATCTGCTGCCATAGTGCATAAATGTGTATGAGTAACTAGAAAAATTGTTTCAGAACCTTAAATGAGTGCATGGTCCTAAAATGCTCTGGAGTTCATCATTGTGTGCTGTGATACAATAGTTGTATATATATTTTAGGAATGGTGACATAAAAATCTGTCTGGTCCTTAATGGCAAGCCAACAAGGAAATGACGTTTCAGGTACATAAAGAAGCAATTTTTTTCTTGACTTACACAAAGCTGTGGCGTTAGCTCTCAAAGGCTGGAGTTGCTGCAGTTTCCATCTCTCAGGGAAGACTAGCATAATGCAATGAGCAGCTCTTAACCAGTTGGCTAAAGGCTTGTGTGCTCCCACTTGTATATTTTGTTCTGATATTATCCTGTTTTCCTCCCAGAATCAATAGCACTTGGTTTCTGTCCACACTAGAAATAACATCTGTTGAGTAATAGGTTTTAAGGAAACCTTTACTCCTGCAAACAAGTTAGAAGGTAGTAAATACAGAAGGTATTTCTCCTGTAAGAGTCATAGAAATTTTAAGAGAAAGTGCCAGAAACATTGACTTGTCTGAAAAAGAGTAATTAAAATCTGCAGCCAAACAAAATGTTTCTTTATCTGGCTCTTACCTGAGCATTACTTGGCTACCTGGGTTAATATTCAGTGATCCTTGGGGGTAATAATAAAAAGTGACAGAAATACTAATGCTAATTAGTGTATTATTAGGAGCTTAATTTTTATTAATTTGGCCCAGCAGTTCTTCTCTAGAAAAATATCCTGAAGTGTTCATGTAACTGTGGACCATGTCTAGTAATTTGTGAGTCAGTAGTGTTGCATTATGTTTTTTAAATAGATGAGAATGAAATAGGTCATATCTTGTTAAGATGCTATAAGTCCATTGTTTTGAAGATACCTCTATAATCTTTCACTTCTTTATAGTAATTGCAAGTGAAGTGTTTGATCAAATACAGATAAAAGTCTGATACGTCTGAGTCTTTAATTCTAAATTTCTATTGATGTAGTAAATTTTTACGTGGAAATACACTTCCCAATTAATTTTCGTGTTGAATGCCTGTCTACCTATTGGTGTTGAGAGTTTCTTCTAAGGTCAAGATAAGCTTTTGTTATTTCTAGCTGTGTCTTTGAGGCTGCAGAGGGAGGCTTTAGGATGTTCCATATATGCTAAGGCCATGTCAAGGTACCGGTTTGGGATTCTTTGCCATTAGATGTATCATTGTCAGTCTTGTCTAGGAAGCTTCTGTTTACAGTAGGAGGCCTTTTAAGCTTGTTTTTCTTATATACTGAGTAGCCTTTCACATGCACAGATTTTTTGTCCTTAATATAATGATATTTCCTTAAGATACTAAGGGGGGCTTTGGGAGGGGTAAGTTGGTGTTTTCTGAACTGCTAAAACTGAATTTGAAGCATGACAACTGAAATGAGTGGTTGATGGCTCTTCATACATGTTATTCTGATGATGTGACTCTCTAGTATTCAGATAAGCCATGTCAAATATACAAAGCTTTTTTTCTTTAATTTTTTGCCTGTGCTGTCAGGTGAAGCAGTCTTATCTGTGCTCTTGAAAGCAAGTTATACAGTTATGGAGCTTGTTGACGTGAGTGATATCTCAGTTTTCACAGCACCCTTTGACAGAAAAATATAATCTCTTTATTGCCTCAAAAGCTTTAGCACTTCCTGTGTACTTAATTTATTAAGGAAGGTCCATGAGATAATGCACACATGAAGACAATATTATTCTAGAAATTAAGAGCTCTGTAATGAACTGAATTACTGTTTTGTTTTTTTTTCCCTACTGAGTAATAGATAACTGTGGGAGTTGGTGTTGAACACTTAAATCCTTCAGATAGAGCAGTCATACACAACCCTACTGTTTTCTCTTCAACTTGGCTGTTTTGAAGATCTGCAAGCAGTGTATGGACAGTGAAAGAATAGAGCAGGATATTTGGTTGGAAGGGATCTACAATGATTATTTAATCCAACTGCCATCAAGACTATGACAATTTCTGGGTCAGATCTAGAGAGTATTAATGAAATTCAGTTTTCATGACCGTTAATGAAAGAGCTCCGATGTAGAAAAGCTGTTGCTTTTTTAATTATGTACTGAATTTACAGAAGTTATATTTCTTCAAAGAGAAGCAGTTGTTCTTCTAGTAAACTCATTGACTTCTGAAGTCATGTTAAATTTGTTTTCTAGACCACATAGATATATTAAAAAAAGTTGACTTCTCTTGACAGCTGTCCTCTTGGAGGACAACCTTGAAAGTCTATTTCCACAATATAGAAAAGAAATGCCCATAACAGCCTTGAGTACTTTAAACACCTTGGAATTCATGTAAATGTCTTCTCCTGACTTCAAAGTCTTCAGTACATGTGTTGCACTCTAAAAGATGTATGTAAAATCTGATTAAGCACTGAACAGCTAAGAAACTCAAATACAGATGCTTGGCCTACTTTTGAGACATGTCTTCGCTTTTCCGTACTAGAAATGGCATTGCTCGTTGTTGTAGACTTTAATAATATTTTTGTTTTGGATTCTTTTATAACTTGTACTTTTCTTTTTACTACTTGAGATCTTCGTTTTTCTACTGTGAAGGTTATCAGCCATCACCTGGGAACAAAATTTCTTGAGTTAGGAAGAACTGTATCTGTGTTTGTGCTCTGCTAATGTCTTCTTACAACAAAATTGAAAACGATCTCCTCCAATACACACCGTTTATAATTCTTGTGAATGTTTTATCAGTAAGATAAATATTTAATTCCTTCAACAGCACGTGAAGTGAGTTCTTGCATGAAAGTTTGGAATGTCTGTCCAGATTTATAAAATCTTTAGAAGTCAAGATCTGGGACTGAAGTATTCTTTAGCTCGAACTCTACTGTTCCAACAGTTAAATTAATTTCTGTAGCAGGCAATTGCTGTTTGAATGTGTTTCTAACTTCTTTGTTCAAGGAAAGTTCAGCATATTGTAAATTAACTTTGTTTTTATACTTGTGTTGTATAAGAACCCTACAATTCATAGTATCAATATCAACCTCAAAGTTTTTCATAGGCAAGTTTAAACTCTACTTGCATTCATGTACTGGAGCAGTATCATTGTGATTAAAACCATCCAAAGTTTCATCTTTGATCATCTTGAGTATTTTTTATTCTGGTTTCATTCTGTAAATGTTTGTCCAATCAGTCAATGTGTCCGTTAAGTTAGTAGGACTTGTATCGGCCTCTCTGTTACTTTCGTGTAAAGCAAATTAAGATAAATGACAAGTTTTGAAGGTCTCTCTGAAATGCTAGAAAGTGAGAGAGAAGAGTTAAGAGTCAAGTTTTAGACAAAAATTGCTTTCAAACCTACCAATTAAGCCCTGTGGTTATCTGGGAAGGATGTCTCCTTATCTCAGAGGAGCTGTTTAGTGTACTCTTCAGTGTGTAAGAGTTTCTCTTACTTTACTAACACCAGTTATTGATTAGTTGTAAAGAGTAAAATTGTTTTCTTTTAGGAAAGCAGGTGGTATTAATTTGCTTCCCCAGAAAATGTTACAGCTTCTTGTGTTTAACAGTGACTTAGTAACATAGCAGGTTGCTTAAATATAAATTAAAAACAGCTTTATTTTAAAAAAATTGAAAACACCTTTTTCCTACTGAAAAATGAAGAATAAGCTGGAATTTGAAGGAGAAAAATTACCATTTCTTTTCCCTCTCATTTTAGGGTACGGTCAATGGTGTGCTGCTAGTGACACCAAATAACATCATGTTTGATCCTCATAAAATGGATCCTCTGGTCCAAGAGAATGGCTGTGAAGAATATGGCATCATGTGTCCAATGGAAGAAGTGATGTCAGCTGCTCTGTATAAGGAAATTGTCGACAGCAAAATTAAGGAGTCATTAAGCATGTAAGATAGAACAGTATTTGTAAAGTTCTGAGTAAATCTGAACTGTAGCCACATTGTTGACTATACAGTATAGGAGGCCAGCATTTTGCATCTTTTTCTTCTTAGGAAAGGACATCAAAGATTGGCTTGGAAAGATCCTGTAGAAAGTTGGCTTTATCTTCAGTTCTCACATCCTATGTATGAGACAGGATAAATCTTCTATATATATGTGGATTCTAATTTCCTCCAATAGTCTCTTGTAAAGCTCTGTGGTGCCACATCATTTCCTCTGACCCTTCCCCACTGTGGCAACAGTTAATAGGTGTTGTTTGGTTCTTCAATAATTTAAAAACTGGTGCTCACAATAAGAAAGTGCAGCTTTGACAATTTTAGGTATAAGTTTTTATTGTTTAGCGTTTTTCATTTGCTTCTCAATCTTGTTGCTCTGACAAATGATATAAACTCATTTTCTAAGATTTGTATATATTATCATGGGCCTTTTATGGCTGGGGGAGGGACTGCATAGTCACCTTTAGGTGTAGTCTTTTTTTGGTTTAAACAGTGAATTTGGATTGGTGAGCTCTAAGCACTGGTGTTTATTGCAGCAGGCATTTAAAATCAACTTTGAAGAGCATTATGAGAAATCCTTGTTCAGTTGTCTCTGGTTTTTATGCTTTTACATTGTTATCAGAAAAAGATAAATTCTGCTTTTGAAAAACAAAAAGGATTAAAAAAAAATCATGCCACATTTACCTGTCACAGCCCATAAAGCACAGACATTTACAGACTTCCTTGATTATCTAGCTGCAGGGAAGTGGGCTTCTTTAACCGAGAGAGTGTAAAGCTGTTTGCTTATTATGTAATGCTATACCCTACTTAAAATAGTTGTATTTTTTTAAGATACTCAGTAACTCTTAAAAATACCCTCTTACTGTTCATATAGGTAGTACCTTAGGCACCTCTTTCTTGATAGTCTTAACTATATGGACACTCAGAAGTAGTAACTTGCCTCACACCATTTTTAAGCTCAGTTTTGTCATAAACATGGGAGTGCCATCTTGGTATGGCCTTGTTTACTGCCTGATGTCACATGTCTGTTGAAAGGGCAGCTGAAGTGCATGTTGCTACAGTAGTACTTTTGGGGCTTTTGATGTAGAATGATGATGCCTTCAGCATGATTTCTTTCTGGAAGTTTATTTTCCAGACTGAGTTTTAAAAAGTTTTTCACAATTCCTATTTCAGTTGATACACAGTGGAAAGAATTAGATGACTCCGTGCTTGGATCATGATACTGTGGTTGCAAAACAAGTATTTTTCTAAGATGTTTAGTTTATTAATGACTTAATAATGCCTCTGATTTTTGTGCTCCTGTAGCACATGCATTTTCTGTTTTGTTTATAGCATGAATGCATATGGAATGAAAAGGTGTCTGCTAATAAAAGGTCACACTCTGCATTCAGAGGCCTGTATGTCCAATTTGATATATCTTTCTTGTCAGCTTTATAAACTAGTGGGTGGAACACTAGCTGCTAGCATTTTCTTCAGTCCCTGCACTTTTCTTCCTTAGCTAAATATGAGGCATATTTGTAAATTTTGGGGAAAACAAAAATCAAATCTTTTAAGTCCATAAACAGAAGGCCTAGTCAGCTAGATCTGACAAGACCCAAGTGTCTTGTGGTGTTTGACACTTAAATCATATTTTCTCACTGTTTTTTTTTTTTTTCTCTACATGTTGCACTGTTGTAGTTAATCTTCTTCTACTCTCCCAATTTTGCCAACTGTTAAACCTGCTTAAACTTGGGAAAGCAATCTTATTTTCATTATTCAGACTGATATGGAAAATGGTCATAAACCAAATGGATGCTTTTGTTCTTAAAAGTGAAATTTTGTGCAGTATGGTTTCTATTTATAAGCCACAATCTATGCTGAAACCGGACCAAAAATGTCTGACTGCATAGAGATGTTTTATGGATTTCACGAACCTTACATTGTGCTTGTATAAGAGCACCTATGATGAGTATAATCCTGAAAATTTAAAGAAATGGCCCAGTCTCATAGGTAATGAATTCTAAAGCTGAATCCACATGCTTTGTAAGCAAAATTACTCTGTCAGCTAAAGCTTATTACAAGTTTTATGTTAATGAGTAGATAAGAAAGAGCATATGCTTTTCAAACACTTCGCTGAATTTTAGCAGCATCTCAGTAATGTGATGTAACTGGATATAAAGTTTTGTGAGACTGTGGAGTGAATGTATTGTCCTTCAAAACAGGTTAATGTACAACCTTCTTAAAAGCATTTAGTGCTAGGTAATGGAAGAGTTGGTGTGCTTCTCATAGTGAAGAAGCTGATGTTCAGAACTCTAGTCAAGAGTACATTTCAATATGAGAATTTTTTGTGAAGGCTGTGTATTGCCCACGTTTTTTTGACAACAGGGAAAAGCTTGAGTTCTGTAGGTCTACTTGAGCATGTTCATGGTACCTTTCTAGTCTTCCTCTTCTAAAAGTCATAGAATTTCTAGTTAGTTTATTTTGAAAAGCAGGTTTAAGCAAGATTATTTCCTCTGAGTAAAATAAATTTTTATGCTTGCTTTTTTTTTTACACTATCAGCTTCTTCAGTTGTATCAAGTAGTTTGGGATTGATTTTGCCAAACAATGATATCCTCAAAGTTAAGTACTTGCTGAAGACACTAAGCACTGTTTCAAGTATTTTCTATAGGCAGAATAGTGAGACATACATTGATGGTTCCTACTGTTCTGCATTTACTGGCTTTGATATCTGAGGTTTGATTTCTGCCATTGATTTCTATGATTTCTGCCATTCACTTTTTATCTGTGAGCTAGGTATCAGCTTCCTTGTAGGGTGGGGACATATCTGTCCCCTCCTAGGACCTCTTGGGGAGACAAAACTTGAAAGACTGGATGATTTTTACCTTTAGAAATTATAGTTGTGTGTAGCTTTTTGTTGGTTTTACTTTGGTTTTTATTTTATTTTTACACTTTAAGTGCCCCTCACAATCTTGTTAGTTTCATAACAGAGTTTCCTGTGTAAGTAATGTCATGAGCTTGGGAAGTCCCAGCTATGTTATGCTGGCAAAAGATCAGCCATGTTTACCATTATGGTATCACATTTTATGCTTGTTATTACTGATTATTACTAATGCTCTAGATTAAGTTGTTATTTAGGGTGTTTAAGAGCTTGAACAAAAAACATAGTGAAGAGCTTGATACTTTAGAGGTACCTGTTATAACAACATTGTTATTTTTCTCAACAGAGATGTAGACCAGCTGTCAATAAGGGAACTTGGCCATTCCAAGAAAGCTGCAAAGAGCAATACAGATGACACGGATTCCAGGGTTCGGGACACAGGCAATGACAGTGCTAGTACTGCCCCAAGAAGCACAGAGGAGTCTCTTTCAGAAGATGTATTCACAGAATCAGAACTCTCTCCAATACGTGAGGAACTTATTTCCTCAGATGAGCTTCGACAAGATAAATCTTCTGGAGCATCATCAGAATCTGTCCAAACAATAAACCAGACTAGTGCTGAATGTTTAACAGTCATTTCAGACTCAAATGAAGCTGCCAGTGACTTAAAGCCCAGTGCCGAAGTGGTTGGAGATGTTAAACAGTTTGGTACCCACTTAAGTTCAGAACATGCTAAAAAGTCTATAAAGGGAGGACAAGAACCTGGTGAAAATACTGCAGATGTCCTCCAGCAGTCTTTACAAAGATCACAGGGTAGTGAGGAGCACAGCAAGGAGACACAAGTGGGCAAGGATCAAGGTTCCTCAGTAGGAAAAAAAGCAGGTAATGAGATGGAAGAGGAATGTCCGGGTTGTGAAGATACCACAGACTCTCGAAAGCAAGAGACATCTAGCAAAAGAAAAGAAATGGGAGAGCCAAGTCAAGACTCAACATCAGAGGCAGAAGTTGAAGAACTCCGCAAGCTCTGGAAGACTCACACTATGCAACAAACAAAACAACAAAGAGAAAACATGCACCAGGATTCCCAAAAAGAAATCAGTCAGAAAGCTGTATCTGCAGGAGATGGGCGGTTAGAAGGTGAGTCAATGGGTATTTATGGATACAGTATTAACCTTCAGATTTGCAATGTATCACCTTCCAGTTTAATGGAAATTTTGGATTTCTTTGTTCTGTACAACATATCTCTCCATGTGCTTGGTTATAGTTCTCAATGACTCAAAGATATTCAAAAGTTAAATTTTACATAAACGATTGGAGAAAGTATTGCTTAGGAAACTGAGAACAGAGATAACTTTGTAATTCTTTGTCATTGAAATGATATTTATGGTCATATTAAATCACAGTATCTTTGTAGGATATTTGAAAGTGTTCTTTAGCAATTAGCTAGCTGTTGCTTAAATTTTGATCCCAGTGCACATGCGTGTGAATGAATTTTAGGGAATTAATTTGATGTTATTTGTAGCATGTGTGCTTTGTGGTCAAGGTTTATGGTGTGAGCAGCAAACACTGGAGTGTTAAGACCTGTGTTTGCTTTCAGAATCTTCTTTCACTTGCATCTTGTCGTACTTTGACTAGAACAAGGTTAAGAATCCAAAAAACTTGGTTCAGGACAAATAAAGTCTAGGTGCTAGGAAACTAGTGCTGTGGATACAGCACTACAAGAGGTAGGTTTTATTTCTTGAGTACCTTGATTCTTCTGCAAAGATCAGATTCTGGGATTATTTGTTGGAAGTTACACTTAAAGTCTGGTAAAGTTTTTATCATATAGAAATATGCTGTGCCTTTAAAAGACTTAAATATGTTTCTGGATGACTTTGATTTTGCTTTCTAAAAAATTGGCAAATTATTTTCTGATGTCTTCTCATTTTACTAATGGAGATAACTGAACTATTTGTTTTAATTGTGCAATATTTGGGGGACTAGAAAAGAATCTATTAGTGTGTGGCAGGCATTAAAGACAAGTGAAGTGCATTTGAAGGTTAAATTCACTGTTAATGTTGAAATTATATTGAATAGAAGTACATTCTTTGGTTAACAGAAATTTGTCTACACTTCAAAATCTATCTAATAGTTTTGGCTTTATTGGGTTTTTTTGGTTGGTCGGGTTGGTTTTTTTCCCTTCTTTTAATGAGGTAGCTGAATTTTGAAATTTGAAGCAGATGAATACTTGCATCATTCTGTGCTAAGTTTGACTTCTATGCAGTAAATACTAGAAGTAGTTCTTTGGCAAATGTCAGCTAGGAAGCAGTAGTTGCCAGTTGGGACTTTAAAAAAATTCAGGTACTAACTGTTCTTTGGCACAATTGCTGCTCTTTTTACAAATGAATATTTGTAACTCAGTTGCATTAAATGCTTTAGTTTTGGTTTTCTGTAAGATTGTATCATTGAAGGACTGCAGGTTATTCGCATGTTGTGTGATCTGTGCATTTGTGGAGTAAATATGTATATATATAACCAAAAAAGTTTCTGCATACAATCCTACAGAAGAATGTTGGCTAGAAAACTTATATGCACATAGTGCTGCTGCCTCACTCAAGTTTGATGGGGTAAAGTATGAAGAAAAAAATAAAAGAAGCACAAGATCCTTTTTTGGAGATTTGTACCGATTCAATCCAACTTCAGTAGGAAGTATTACATTTGTTATTCTTGCATGTTGTATTAGCAGAATGCAAATAAACGAGTAAATTATGAAGTTACAGGTTTGGTGGAGCTTCTACAGGCACGATTAAACAGAACCAAGGTAAAAGATCTGTTATAGTCTTGAAAACCATCAGACTGAATATGACATCTATTAAGAGTAGGTCACTAAAAACACCAGGTCATTTAAAATTTGAAATATAGCAAACATTTTCAAGTAACCTTTTTCAAAATAAAACTGAAGTAGTCATACTATGAGTTTTTAACTTACCTAGATAGTCTTTTTGTCTCTTTTATAGCAGGAACTTAGTTGAATTTTTTCCTCTTTTGTGGCAGTTTTGACAATTTAGGTTTTGAGAACTACTGTTTTTGAACAGAGGTCAGATGTTTGAGTTTGGAATTAATGATCTGGATGTTTGTTCTGAATGTTGAACAGGTGATATAATGCAAGTAGATACTTATGAGTAGACTAAGTAAAAAGTAGTAGAATAACTAAAAAGGTCTCATTTGTATCTACTTTTATTTTTTTGTTGCCCAAGCTTCTGTTTTTATAGACACCTTCGTTAACCATTGGACTGAAATAAAGCTGGATGTGGTTGATACTTTGGAGAAATTGTAACAAGCTATAATATTGTGTGTGTATAAACAAGCTAAAATATCATTAATGATAACATGTCAAAATATTTGCTGTTTAGCTGAATATTGGCAGACATTGAAAGGAAAGACAAACATGAGACACACTAACCATTGCTGAAATATTTTCTCATTAATTCTGTATCAAATATACAAGAAGATATTGGAGAATTCACAAAGAAAAGGCATCTGAAATAGTCTTTTTGAAACTTGGGACAGGGCTAAATTGTTTTTTATCTTATCTGTTAGCGGGAATCTTAATCCCACTTCTCTGAGCTCAGGGAAGTCCTAATCTGCTGCCTCTGAAGGACCAAAATCACAAATAACAAATAATTTGAAGAGTATTTATCTAATACTACCACAGAGTTTGCATGCCAGTCCTATGAAACAGGCTTTTTTGTTTATTTTTGTTTCTTTTTAGTGTTTTGTTTCAATCTGACAATTTTCCTTTGCGCTTACACATTAATAAAATACTTTCAAATAATGCATGTTATTATGGCTAATTTACTATACTGTATGCTGCAGGTGTAAATCTAAAATTAGGAGGCACACATTTAAATAGTTACTAGGAGAAAAATAGTCTTCTGTGGAACAGTGATGTTCTAAACTTCATGGTGAAAATCCCATTGAGAAGACATAGTTGCAATGTTTATAGAGCAAGAAGGTGATGCTTTCTGTGCTTAGTGGATCTGTGTTCTGCATAAACAGTGAAAGAGAACTTCAGCTGTGAAGAAAAGGTGTGTCCTGGGAAGCTGAAACTTACCTATCTTACCCCATCTCCCATTATTTATATAAAAGTCCTAGATCCCTCAATTGTCTAATATAAAATTAGTTTATGATTTTGTTAAGCTCTTCAGTACATTGTGGACAGCTTACTTTGTCTTTATTAATAGGTTCTTCTGTTATGAAAGAAAAAAGACGGCATCGATCTCACAAGTTTCTGTGTCTCAGGGTTGGAAAACCCATGAGAAAAACATTTGTTTCTCAAGCAAGTGCAACAATGCAACAGTATGCACAAAGGGACAAAAAACATGAGTACTGGTTTGCTGTTCCACAAGAAAGGTAAGAAATAGGTAAACTTTAAAAATCAGCAATTGACAGTAGGTGTTGCAGCTTTTTATTTTTTCGCACCATTCAAAATTTTGCAGTGACTGTATCTCTAAATAATCACAGAAAAGGATCAGCATCTGAGAATGTTGTTGATTGGCTTCTATTATATTTGCCGTTGGAGTACCTAATAACCTTACTGGTATTTTACTGATTTACTTGAGTTACTTGTAAGTATGGAAGTAGTTTGTCATTTTATTATTTAGGCTTTTGTTTGTAGCAAGTAAATAATGAAAGAAAGATTCAAGTGCTATCTGGTGGAGTAAGTTCTGTAGCAAAACCTGTGCTTCCCATTATTTGGAAACTTCCTAAAACTCCTTTCTGAGTTCAGAAGAGCCAGCTGAGCTTCTTTTGTCTTATCTTTGTGTATGGAACATAATCTTTCCATGAATCAACTTAAGCATGTCTACTGGAAAAATACCTAAATTTGTTGAACTCATTCAAAGACATAAGATGTTCATTCTCACTCACTGGTACAATCTTGTATACTGAAATGATCTTTACTGCTAGGAAATGCTGAATTCTTTTCAACTCAAAAGTGTTTTTTAGGAGTTTTAGGATTGTTGTCAAAGGGTTTTAGGATCCTTGTAAAAGAGTTGGGGAAAAGAAAGAAACAAAAAACTATCAGTTATCATCTGGTATAAATCCCTACCCACAATGCTCAAGTCACTTTTCCATCTTTTCTTTTGAGCTGAATGGCATAGAATGTCCAGTTGGGGCACTGCAGTTGAGGACAGATATGGATCAATTGGAGAGTCCAGAGGAAAACAGCAAGACTATTTAATGCCTAGCAAGTGTAACATATAAAGAAAATTAGAAGTAAGTGGGGTTCTTTAATTTAAAGGTGAAAAGGTTGATTACAGACAAAATTACTTTATACTGAAGTTAGATGCTACAAGAAACGCAGGAGGTTTTTTTTTGTCATAGCCACTGTGGACTGAAATTGCATCCAAGTATTATACTCATCCAGGAGGTAGAATTGAGTCCATGGTAGTGCATCACTAACCTGCTTTTAAACATCACTCCTGCAACCTCTTAAGTGGTAGAGGAGATGCAAAGTTTTGAGTCAAAGATCTGTCCCACTAATTCTGCTGCTGTTAATCCTGTCTGGGCCAGGAGTTCTCTTGCAGTTACAATCAAATCTGCTTGTTGTAGTAGTATCATATTTAATTTGAAAACCGATAAATGTTTCATATATGGCAATGATATCTAGATTAGTTGTTTAAAATTATTACTGTCTCTTTGGTTCATTTTCTAATGTAGCAAGCACTTTGCTTCAGCATAAAGCAGAATTGCTCACCTGTTTTGGAAGAAATGGTTCTTATTTTGCAGTCTGTACTGATCTCCTTGGAAATTATTTCAGGTGTGAAGGGTCTCTAACTGAATGGGACAGTGTGCTATCAGTATCAGTTCTTTATTCATTCAACGTGTGTCCTATATTTTTTGTAAAGAAAAAGCTATGTCCTCATAGTGGGGTGTTTTATTATCTTATTTTGGTGTTAACCTTGCTGAGTGCTAGTCTGCATAGGTGAAAGTACTTAGTGCCAATCCAGTGGTCTTTGTCACCGAACAGTAAGAGGGAAAAGTAGGTATCTGACAAACCAGCTTTATTTCAGTGCTCTTAGTCTCAAATGAGCCAGTCTGGGAAGGAGTGTCTTAGAGTTCCTTAAGCATCAAGTTTCATGTACTTTTATAACTGTGTTAAGTCCCAATTTTAACTTTTCAAGAACTTTGAGTTATGTATAATTATAGCAAACTTTCATACTTGTATGACAACTTAAAACTGATGTCTCATTCAGTCCATGAGGAGTCTGCAGCTTCTTGTTTGGACTTCTGTGATAAAGTTTACCTAACCTTACGCACCCAGAATGTTTTGTTCTTTCCTACTGCCACAGAAAGATTTGCCCTCCCTTTTTTTTTTCATTTTATCATTGCTATTCACAAACCTAAACCTTAACAAGGGTGACTTGAGATAACTGACCCTATTCAGAGGCAGTTACTACATACCTGTGTGCAGCATTCTTTTAGGTGGAAGCACATGAAAAATACAACTACACTTCTGAGAAAGTTTGCAGTTCTGTATTTCTTGCTGTCTTCAAGTGTTCAATTTTTCAAAGATTATTAAGGAAGGGAGAAAAAAAGGCTGAAATATTATTATTCATGCTAATACAGGGCACAGATATAGCAAATATCTCAGAAGTAAGACATGAGGTGTATTCAAACTCTTGTAACCAGAGCCATGAAGCTCTAGCTCTGAATCTCTCTTCTGTGATCAAGAGATACTACTGGGTGCATTGCAAGTCCTTTTCCTGAATGCTCTGTCTGTGCACCTGCAGTAAATACAGGATAGACTGACATCTGTTAGGATTGCAAATAACTTCCTCCTGTGAATTTGGGTGATTTTGCTCTTCTAAACTGTAGAACAGTGCCATTTGTGGCACATAACCTAAAAGGAGGTAACTTTGAATCTTGGTACTTGTGATAGTTAGAATAGTCTGTAGTTGATGGTTGTATGATTTATACATATATGTGCATGCTTCCAGCCATATTTCCCCACATCTGAAGTGGGGGGGGACTCTACATCTGCAGTACTTCCCACAATTTGTATGATTCTGATTATGTCTTGGAAGTACTCAGCTATTCTTCAGGAGTGGGGAAAACAGACGTGCAGATATTTTTTGAATTCTAACTTTGGTTTTAAGTAACTCTTTCTAAATAATTCCAAGTCTTAAATGTTTTATTTTGGGAGTTACCTCACTTTTAAGCAGAGGTATCCAATTGGTCAGAAGTGGTTGAAAGACAGTGCTTGTATATGAAATCACTGCTAATCCACTGCCAACTTGTTTCCTGACTTTTTCTCCAGAGTCAGATTCATATATTTAAAAATAAAAAAAAAAAAATAGCTATTTTTTAAAATGTGTCTCTAATATTTAGTAAATTATGAAATAGTATTTTTATTTTAAACTTAAATACTTAATATTATTAGACACAACTGTAAAGATCACAAACTCACCTTATTTTTCTTTTCTTTGTTGTAACTTGACTTTTCTAGGACAGATCATTTGTATGTCTTCTTTATCCAGTGGAGTCCAGAGATATATGCAGAAGATACTGGGGAGTCTCTTCGGGAACCTGGATTTATAGTGGTAAAAAAGAAGGAAGAGCCTGAAACTACTGAAGAATCAAGTACTGAAGATGCTGCTAAAGAATGGGAGGTAAGGAAGAACAGTATCAAAGATTTTTTTTAATACATTCTTAAGAATATATTAAAATGTTATGAACTATTTTCCAAGGGGAAAAACAAAGCACTTTCTTAGTCTGATTATCATGGTCATGGCTGTTCAGTTTATGCCATCCTAATGCTTTGCTCTAACATCAGATCAGGGTAACATCTCACAATTCCAAATCATTTTTATGTGGAGCAAATTGTAACTTAAAACTCTTGGGGAAAGAAATGTGAGTACAGCAACCAAGTTTGAATTTTGGTGAAGCAGACTTAATTTTCAGTCTCATAAACTGACAGTTTTCTGTTATTTATTATTCCTGTATCTAGAGTGTTCAGTAGTCATTGGTAAGACTCTTAAAAAAGGGATGGGACAACAAAAGCAGAAAAGAACAGCTATTAATGACATACTTTTTTCAATAATTTACTAATTAATTTTTCAGTTGAAACTTATTCATGCATTGAAATGCTGTTAAGTGGAACTATCGCTTTTTTTTAATAATAACTGCATTTCTCTCATGTGACTCTGTGTCCACTGTGTTTCTATGGACACATCTTTACACGTCTACATGGTTTTGTTTTGTAGTGTACATGCAGTTACAGCACTTCTAGTCTTGTACATTCAAGTGTTGGTCAAAAGTTTGATGATTCTTGTCGTATATATATTGTAGAAGCATCCCATCAGCACTGTTCAATTTGATTCTTTGGACAGCAATTGCCATCTCTGACTGTAAGATTTCTTTTGGTTTTCTTCCCCCTACCCTGCAGTCGAACATGTTGAAATTAAGGAAGTCTACACTGTTTTATGTAGAGCATAAAAGAAATTTTGAAGAACTGCAATAGTCTAATTACAGATAATAGTTTTCTGCTTAGCTCCAAAACTTAGAACCACAGAACTCTGAATTCAGAGTTGAAATGTAGCTAGTTTAAGTATTAGGCTGTGGTTGCAAAACATTCTCTGCAACTGAGTGGTATTGCATGAAGCATTTTTGCTTTGAGACATTGAAATTAGCACCATAAAAGCACGTCTCTAACTTTTGTATTTTCAGCATATGTATTGCTTGAGTTTTTACCAGCAGTGTATTTTGGTGTTAACTCTTGCTCAAAGCCTTTATAAGTATTTGGAGTTTTAAAATTTGTCCTTTTAGAGCATGGAGATCAGTGACTAGTGATCTGTATTATGGTTTAAAGCACAGTTTAGCTCTCTTTTAGTGAGCTCTTCAGTAATTATGCACCTTAATATAACTATGGAATAATTTTCACAGAATATAATGAAAATATTTTTTTCATGATGGAATGTGGTAGATTTTAGAAGCTATTTCTGAAAGTAGTTGAGGCAATACATTTTTTGCAAGTACTAAAATCTGTAAGTTATTTACCACAGAATGAAGCCACACCTTAAGCCTGTATTTAGGTCTTTTCTGGAAACAGTTATAGGAAACATATTAAAAATATTATTTCTATGTGTTATGTGAAATTGTCAAACTTGGTTCTCTTAATATTATCAAATAATTTCTGGATTTACATGTTAATGTGATTAGTGAGATGGATAAGGATATAAAAAAATGTTATGCAAGTACAAGGAATATGCTAATGTGGTCTTTTGTGCATTTTAATTTGAATAATGTGACTTCCTATGACTTTTAGCACAAATCTCAAAGCTCTTAAACTTTCTAATCAGAAATGTTTGACAGTACTGGATGGTTTGAGCTGTCTTTACATAAAACTGTATTTTAGTAGCTTTTAACGTGTATGCTAGAAAATATGAGTAAATGCAGGGAATTTTAGCCCTTGTTATGGCCGTCATACTCATTATTTCCACTGAATTTCAGCCATTATTTTCAATCATATACTTCCTTCAATACAACAAGCTTTTCTTCTGTCAGTTTTTGCTCCAGGTGCAATCTGAAATAGCAGGTGAACAGTATAATTGAAGGCTGTTTCTGGGTATTTGGCTGAAAAACAGGCTGCCTTTTTCAGATGACAAAGATGGGATATCTCTGGGGAAGTGAAATGGAAATATATGACAAAGTACTGTTGATCTACCAAAGGATGTAGGTTATGGAATGGAGTAGTAGTCTTTTCCAAAAATATGTTCTCCCTGCTGTCATTGTGTACAGTATCTTAAAACTAGAAGATTAGGGAAGATGATTAATGGGTAACCCAGATGTGGCTCTCTGAAACAGCTTTTGTTTCTTTGCTAGTTCTGTTAATACATTCAGGAGCAGCTTTCTAACTTTGAGAAACCCTATGTTTTAGTGGGTAAGAAGTAATATGCAAAGGCAAAGATCAGTAACATGAAACAAGTAGTAGGTGTTGGTTTATTAAGTCTGAGTGAATAGGACCCAACTCTTACTCGAACTTCAGTTTTTGTCTGCTTGCTTCTACCTTGATCAAATACTGCATTGTGCATAGTGTCAGGGAAAAGTCCAGCAAATCCTTTAGCTTTCTCTTTTTATGTGTTGAACCTTTGATAGGTAACTGACTTACTAGAAATACCTGTGAATCTACTGCTTTACTGTCAGTAAAGGTGACTAATTCATAGAGTTTGCAACAATCTGTCTGAGACACCGTGTAGCTGCTGTTGCTGATGTTGCTTAGTATCTTCCAGAGAGGCCCCTTCCTGTGTCATTTGAAAAGCTTTATAAAAGGATACTTTTTCATTTAAGATCAGCCCATGCTAAAGACTTGTCTCTGGTAGCCACTAGAAATGAATAGGCAATAACTTTATTTAATATGCTATCTAAGAAATGAAACGGTGATGCTAAGTTCTCAGTTGTGTTATACCCATCCATTTTTCTCAAGTGTCTCCTTTATTTTGTACTTTAGTGAATGGGCTTACACCAAGGAAGAGGGTGTTTTGAGTTGTGTGGGATTGGGGTTTTTTTGATTTCTTTTTTTGTTTGGTTTTTTGGGGGGTTTTTTGTTTTGTTTTTTGTGGGTTTTTTTGGCTTTGTTTTGGGGTTGTTTTGGTGCTGGTTTTTTTTACCATCTGTACTGAGCTATAAGGTGTATTTATCATGGTATTTTTTTACTTGATCTAAGTTCAAGTGCTAATGGCTTTCTGTATCTGTTAGCACAAATGATGTATACTGTTATGTGTTAATAAACTTCTTCTCCTAAGCATATTCTATACTTGCATCTAAACATGGCAAGACTTGACAGCAAGCTGATGCCTTCTGTTGTGCAGTGTCTCAGAAGCAATTTCCATTGGTACTTATGGTCTAATCTTGTTTCCTTTTTAAGTTCAAGTTATGTGTATAGTAGTATATCCTATTTAAACGTGAAATCTGTTAAGGAAACATTTGAATTGCTCAGCATTGGAGTAATTCTTGTTTAAAGCGTTTATTCTTCCTTTCCCTTCCCTGTCATTTGATCTCATTGCCATTATTCAAGATTGAGTCATACTTAATGTCCATATAAATCTAAATGCTCATTCACAAGATATTTGAAAACAGGATATTTCTTGTCTTAGGACCCACAAACTGGTCTTAAAATAGTTGGAAGCTTATCAGTTTTATTTTTTTCATTAACTTGTTAATTGTGGAGGAAATACCGAAAATTAGTTTGATTTAAAACTATCTAGAAGTTAATTTCCAAAATAAAGTTTGAGTTGATACATTAATGCAAGTATTTTTTTCGTAGACATGATAGGTCATGTTCTGGACTTGCATTTCATAGTAATTACCTTTGGCTTTGCCTACTGAATGTCTGTAGAAAACACAGATACAATGCTTCTGAAAAGCAGTAGCTCACTTGTTCCAACTGAATTTCAGTTAGAACTTAAGATGTGGTTTGAAAATACCTACTAGATAAAACCATTAATTGCAATAGAAGTTCTGTCATCTTGAAATGTTGTTTGACTTGGACACTCAGCAATCTACCATTCTCCAGAAGCTGTAACTTCTGGAGTGTATCAGAATTCTATTTCTGTGTATTTATGGAAATGTGAAAGTCACAAACAGTGATTGTCTCCTGGTTAGGTAAGCACCTATGTCCAATATTCCAATCTTGAAACCTTTTTCAGATGTTAAGTTCTTTATTAGATCTGGACTGGAGCCTACATTTCTATATTAAACTGGATATTGCAGTTTCAGAATGCACTGCTGTCTTTAGTTTTTGCATTCTTAATCATATTCCTTCTATAAACTTGCTTCTGTTCTCTACTGTGTATTTCAGTGCTTGGATGCTGGTGCAACATCTGCTTGTTGTGTCTTACAATTTAAAATGTGATATGAACATAATGCTGTATGACAAGCTGGATAATACTGGATCAGCAGAGAGTAGAGGAAGCCTGAAACTTGTAGGCTTTAGGATGTGTAAAGATGTACCATGCTAACAGTCTTCAGAATAAGAATTTTTTCCAATATGTTTCTGGAAAGGCTGTCTCTAAGATAATGAATTGGTTATACAAGCTAGATGGTTATTTGGTTTTCATATTGTGTATTGTCAGTTAAGAGATTGGATGTGTCACTATGCATGTGTTGCTGTGCATTACCACAGAATGTTTAATAGGCTTTGCTTTTGTACTGGAGGATGAGTCTCTTCAATTCTAGCAGTCATGTGCTATAGTAGAAATGTTTCTGTTAATTTGTTGTGGTTGAAGAATAAGACTTTGTCTATGCAATCCAATGCTCTTTGTAGAGATTGGTAACTTTCATTCTTGATTTTGCAATTAACTTGAATGATATTGTACTGTCTCTCAACTTCATGCATTAGGGTGTTTCTTGTTGTGCTGTTCTACTTAATCTATTTCAAATCTATTTATAACTTGTAAGTAGAAATTCAGAGATTTTGATGGCTTGGAAATGTCTTGTAGTAGGAATTGTGAATGTGCAATTGTAATTGATGACTATTTCAGGTATCTAATAGAGGGAACTGGGATGGCCCCTCTGCTAAGAGTTAAAGCAGAGCCATTCAACTAAAAAGCTTGTGCTTTTGAGATTCTTAATGACTTTCAGCATACCTTTGAAAATCCTCAGGAAAACTTTG